CTCCTCTTCGCCCCCCCTCCCTTCTCTCCCCCTCCCTCCTTTTCCTCTCTCATTCCCTCTCCACCTTCGTTCTTCCTCTAGGAAAAGTGGACATTCACGACCAGTCGAGTGACTCCTCCGACAGTGAGGAGGAAGACAGGAAGGAGAAAGAAACTTGTGAGTTGACACTGGCTTATTTGGTCGCTTTTAAGCACGAAGGGGCTATCCCGAAAAATGCTGTTTTGAGAAAATCGAAGGTAAACTTTTTACTCCTTGTTCAGTTTCTTTAAAAGACAAAGAGAGTTTTCTCTATAACTAAAGAAATATACACACCTGTGAAACCAGACTTCTCCTATAGGTAAGACAATGGCCACTTTTGGAGTAGGTCAAGATTTCTGGAAACCCCAAAATCTGGATTAACTCGCTCGTCCATTAAAGCGACCATTTTTTCTTTTCCTGCCTACTTATTGCTCTGTTTACTTGTTTGTCTGTTGTCCATTGTTGGCTGTTGTTTGACCGCTATCATTTGTGGCATGACATGGTGGAATCAGGCACTCGTCAATTTTGGGGCATATGGGGGTTATTATTGTAATTTCAAACACTGTTCATTTATCTTACGTTTGGTGAAAAAAATATCAATCTGTGTTGAATAGAAGAAATGGAGGTATTTGCGATTGAAGGAAGTGAGGCCAAAGTTTTGCAATCCCCATAGCTTGAGAGTCCTTGGAAAATGAAAATTCACGATTTTTGTGCCTTTGATCAATGTTTTTCAGTGAAAACTATATGTGTTTTTAAATGGACATAGAAGGTGTTGAGCCAAAAAAAGAAAATTAGAAAAAATTGCCCAATGGCCAGACAAATGCCAGTGTCTTTGATTTCATTATTCTGACGGGCGCCTGATTTCACCACGATGCTTCAAATTTAGGAAAGGAAGAATGATTATTACATGAGTTTGGCATATTATATATATAATAAATACATAAAAATATGTATGTATATATAGTATCTAAAGAATAGTTTACATGAGTTATGGGGATAGATCTTGATTTATTCTGCGAGTGAAATTGCCAAGTTATTATCAGGAGTTTCAACAAGTGATTGCTACTGGCAATTTCACAAAAGGAGGATAAATCATGGTGAACCTCCAGAACATGTGAAGTATAAGGATTTATTTCACAGGAAGTGCAATGCTAAAACAACTCCGTGTGTGGTATTTATTTGTGAAAGTTCGTCACTTTTGTTGCCTAATAAAACTTCATAACCACGTAACTTTTGAATCTGGAAAAAATTAACGGGGGTTCAGAATCATTTAAAGGGTGCACAGTTCTATTAAGGAATCTGAAGTCACTGTAGTTTAATTGTCAGTTTTTCATTAATTTCGTTTACATCTAATCATGAGAAAATCTAAGACGCCATCGTAAACAGGTAAGGCTTCCATTCACAAGCAGTGTGCATTGTTTTCACACCGTATTTTTTTCTTGCGTGATAATGACTTGGCGATCGATTCTTTTGAGTCTGTTCATCGAATGGGTACCACGACCTGGTGGAATCAGGTGCTCATCAATATTTGAGCATATGGGGTTATTGGTATCATCTTAAAGCCTGTTCATTAGCCTTCCTTATGGTGAAAAAAATTTCCATCTATGTTGAATAAAAGTTGAAATATTTGCGATTGAAGGAAGTCAGGGTCCCCTAGTTTCAGAAACTAAATTAGCGAGAAAATGGTTTCTACTATTTGGTAACTTCCATAGTCTGAGAGTCCTTGGAAACTGACAATTTACATTTTTTGTGCCTTTAATCAAAGTTTTAAGTAAAATCCACACAAAAATGTGTTTTTAAATGGACATAAAAGGTGTAGAGCCAAAAAATGAAAAAAAAAAAAAAAAATTTCCCAACGGCCCCCAAAAATGCAGATTTCTTTGATTTCATTATTTTGACAAATGTGCCTGATTTCACCACGATGCATCACAAATTATAACGACTCATGAATTCTTCACTGTCAGTAACAGAACTTTACTGAGCTTATCTCTTCTTTGTGGTAGTTGTTGTTGTGGTAGTAAATTACAATACCTCATGAATTCTTCACTGTCAGTATCAGAACTTTACTGAGCGTATCTCTCCTCCCAGACAAAACCAAGAAACAACGAGCCTCACCCCGCCAGCAGCACAGCTCTGAGTCCGATGGCTCCGCCTCTGAGGAGGAGACACCCCGAGGCTCCGCCCACAAGCCCGCCCCTGTCCCCGCCTCCCCGCAGCGATCTATCGCCGCTGAGAAACCACAGGTTTGTCGACGTTTTGTAGCTTGTGTGATTGGTGCTTTTGTTTAGATGACTGTGACATATGTAGCCTAGCGGTTAAGCTACTGGACTCGTAATCGTGAGATTGTGGGTTCGGGGGTTCAAGCCTCAACTCGGTCCGACTTGGGAAAGTCCTTGGAAAAGGCACTTTACACAAATTTCCCACTTGGCTCAGTCCTTTCGGAGATGGACGTTAAACTCGAAGGTGCCGCCTCTTAAATAACCTAATAATATTGATTGGGGCGTTAAAACAATCCCATTAAAAAAATTAGATGACCTTTGGCTTTTTAGAGTATTATTTGGAGTTTTTCCTGCACCAATTGATTATCATCTTGGTTTTGTGATAGTTTCTGGATTGATGAAACTACAGTTGAAATTGTTGACGGTGGTAACCCATTGTTGAAGAGAAAAGTAGTTGTCTTAGACAGGTCGATGTCTTACACAGTGTCATTATTATGTTAAAAAAAATTGACTCAGAGAAAATGGGAAGTGGCTGTTTGTGCAGGTGAATGTCTTATACAGGTGATTGTCCTATAAAGTGGTTGTCTTAGACTGGTCGATGTCTTGACACGGTGTCATTCTAATGTAAAATAATGCACAAAAGAGAAAATGGGAAGTAGCTCTTTGTACAGGTGATTGTTTTATACAGGTGGTTGTCCTATATGTGAGTGTCCTATACAGGTGAATGTCTTATACAGGTGATTGTCTTATACGGATGAATGTTTTGCACTGGTGATTGTCTTATACAGGTGGTTGTCTTATATAGGTGGTTGTCTTATACAGGTGGTTGTCTTATACAGATGAATGTTTTACACTGGTGATTGTCTTATACAGGTGATTGTCTTATACAGGTGGTTGTCTTATATAGTGGGCCGTTACAGCTGGTTCGACTGTAGTTATCTGTTCTTTTTGCTTTGTCAAGTTTTGTATAAAAAGTGTCCTTAAAGCTACTATGTGGGTGGTTGACGGGTACTCTTGTGTGGTTTGCTTCTTTTTTCCTATCAAGCATCTATCATCCTTATCGCCCCTTCTTCTTTTTTATGTTTGTTACTCTCTTGTAACACCTCTAATCTTCTGGCGCTCATATGACCTTATGCAGCTGCGAGTGCCGTAAAACCTCTACTATAAAAAAAAGCTACTATACATACACATACATGTGGGTTGCCTCATGAAAATTACTAAAGAAGATGCGATATAGCTGGACAGAAGTGGAGACCCATGACAGAAAAAAAAATAGGGTGCCTAAATTATTATCTAAATTTTGTCAAAAGTTTTGTAAAAAACGGGTAAATTAACAACTACAAAAATTTACTGACTCCTCTTCCCTTCCCCCACCCCTCTTTCTAACACCTCCCCTCCCTCACCTTTTCCCTAGAGGGACAGCTCACCACAGTATGAGGTGGTCAAGACGGTCAGCGCGGACAAACCGGCGCCGGTGGTCAGACCAGAGAGCAAAGAAGAGGTCAAGGCCGCAGTCGAGACCACTCAGGACGAGGCTGAGAAGGTTGAGAAGACAGCGGAGGTGAAGAGGGAAAGGAGGGAGTCAGCTTCCTCCATCGCTTCTTCCTCATCGTCTTCGTCAGTGTCGTCTGCAGCTTCAGTGAAATCTCGGGATAGAGAAGGAGACGGGGAGGAGGAGGATGAGGAGAAGAGGAGACCACCTCGCTCAGAGTCCCGAATGGGAGGTGGTGGGGCGCAGCTGATGGCAGTGGCTGTCACAGAGGTAGTGTTGTTGTTGTTGTTGTTATCATCGTTATTGTTGTTGTTATTGTTGTTGTTGTTGTTGTTGTTGTGTGTGTATGTGCTAGCCTATCCGTTCGAAATGTTTGGAGCCCCGAAGAGCGGGCTCTTCGCCAGGGCCACCGCCTCTCTTGGATAGCGGAGGAGGCAGTCCAACCTCCCTGAATCCTCCCCGAAGAGATGCCACCGCCGGATGTTGTTGTTGTAGTTGTTGTTGTTGTCGTCGTCGACATTGTCATCGTTGCTGCTGCTGCTGCTGCTCTTCTTCTTCTTCTTCTTCATCTTTTGTGACCTCTTTGGATTTTGTCTTTGGTATAGAAGTCAAAATTATTGCGATTGAAGGAGGAGAGGTTGCATGGTTTCAGTGGTGAAATAAACGAGAAAATGGCCGCCAGTGTTTGGTGACTTCCAAAGCTTGAGAGTCCTTGGAATCTGAAAATGTATGTATTTTGGTGCTAATTTCATTGCTGTTGTTATTGTCGATATTGTTTGTTATTTGTTATTGTTGTTGTTGTTAATGATACAATGATGCTTAATCGTTACATATCCTGGTGGGTGGTTGGAGGGCTCCACCGGTTGATCCTACTTCTTTACTTTCCCACTTTTGTTTCTGTCTGTCTGTCTGTCTGTCTGTTTTGACAGTGACAATGACAATCTTTATTCATCTCACGGCGAGAAATGTGTCTTTGTCGTTGACAATGACAGTGAATGTTACAAAAGTTATGTGCACTCACGCATACACATGCACAGAACAAGACAGGACATTAGTAAAAATGTGTTATACGTACTGAAATAACCCCTCTCCGTAAAACATTCTCTCTCTCTCTCTTTGTCTTTTACTCCCCCCCCCACCCCCCAAGCACTGAATGACCATTATTTTATCGATATGATTCTTTTTACTCAAACAAACGAACAAATCACATATTCTGATTCACTACAAAATTCTCTTTACTCAAGCAAACAAACAAACGAATCACATATTATCCTGGTTCGTTACAAAATTAATGCTCGTAAAACGTCTCATGACCACAGGCGGACGAGAATGACTTAAGTGCCAGTGGAGGGACAAGGGAGGTAACTGTCACCGGTCATGCCGTAGAGGAAGACAGAGTAGTTGCAGCCCCTGTCGTGACGTCAGTGGAGACGGCGGTGAAGGAGGAGGTGGAGGAGGAAAACTTTAAAGGACGGGACGAGGAGAGAGGTAAAGGAGGAATATAGACGGAGAGACTGTTTTATACTATTTATAGAATGACGGATAAGTTTAGACAGTCAGACAGACAGAGAGATAGAGGAAAACACAGACGGATAGCAGAAGGGCAGGCATTCAGATAGATATCAAGATAAAGAGAGACATAGATCATCTTTGCCTTTCTCACCCTGCAACAAGGCATAGGCCACGGACAAACACTTTCCACCTTTCTCTATCCTTGGCTAGCCTCTTGATGTTATTCCCTGTCTTCCCACCCCTCTGTATATCAATTTCTGTGATTCTTCCCCAGGTTTCATGCGGTCTTCACCTTGATCTTTAACCTTGTGGATTTGAATCCAACATTTCCTTTGTTATACAGCTGCCTGACTTCCTGAGAGTATGTCCAATTCATCGCCACCACCTTCTTCCTACTTCATCTCTGACTGTGATCTGTCTTGTTTTCCTTAATACTTCCTCTTTGGTGACCTTGTCTGTCCATCTGATCCTCAGTAGCTTTCTTAAACACTTGTTTAAGAAAACCTGGATCCTTTTTATGTAAGATATAGATAGCTTGATAGAAAAAGTCAAAACCGTCCAAGACTGCCTCACTTTCATTGTTATCATCTAGTGCCAGATCTGCAACAGACATCAGCGATCTTGGCTCTCCTTTCATTCCTTTGCTCGGATGCTCTTAAAAAACTACGTTTCCCTGATCTTTCCCTGTCACCCATTTGTTTAGGTTCCCTAAGTAGGTTGCTGAGGGCCTACCCCTGCCTTGTTTGCCTTCAATGTTGCCAGTGAGAGCTAGATGTTCGAGACCTTTATGTCTATTCAGGTGTCCCCAAAACTGCATTTGTCGTTTCCTTATTGTTTTTAACAGTGAGAGTCCCACGTGAGATTCATCAAGCATTACCTCATTTGATTTCATTTCCTTCCACGATATTCTTAGCAGTCTCTAAACAAACCACATTTCTGTTGCTTCTATTTTATTTTCACTGCCTTTTGTGATTGTCAAGCTTTCACAGAAAAATAGAAGGGTTGACCATATATATAGCATTTCAGAACTCTCATTTTGGTAGTCATTGAGATGTTCCCGTTTTTCAGGATTGGGCTCATTTGATTGAATTTAGCCTCAACCATTGCAATTCTCTGCTTTATTTCTTTGGAACATTTTGCATCAGATGTTATTATAGCCACACACTACAGAGGATAAAAATGGTTGGCTTAGACAGATGGATGTCTTGGGCAGTGTATCATTATAATTTTTTAATGCAAGGGGTGAAGCGGGCAGTGGTAGTTTGTACAGGCAATTGTCATGGACGTATGGCCACCAGAGAAGGTAAATAGGAGTAAATAGAGAGACAAATAAGTATGACAGACAGACAGACAGACAGACAGACATATATTGATAAGACATAACATTGCGTCATTGTAGAAAGTGTTCAGGGTTAAAATGCTTTTTTTGTTTTTGTCATTTTGCTTTCTCTCTCTCTCTGTTTCTCTCTCTCTCTCTCTCTCTCTCTCTCTCTCTCTCTCTCTCTCTCTGTCTCTCTCTCTCTCTCTGTCTTTCACCCTCTATCTGAGTGCCTGCCCTTCTGCTATCCGTCTGTGTTTTCCTCTATCTGTCTGTCTATCTGACTATCTAAACTCATCTGTCTTTCTATAAAACTGTCTCTCCATCTAAATTCCTCCTTTACCTCTCTCCTCATGTTGTTTTTGTCTACATGTACCCGTGGTGTCTGGTGGGTGGTTGGCGGGTGCTCGGGTGTGGTTTGCTTCTTCTTTCCTATCGAACATCTATCGTCTTTATCTCTCCTCCTTCTTTTTTGTGTTTGTTACTCTCTTGTAACACCTCTAATCTTTGGCACTTATATGATCTTATTGTGTTGCAAGGGCTGTGAAACACTTGCTGAAAAAAAACGTGGTGTCTGTCACGTATGTCTGTCTATGTCTACAGTACCTGTGGTGTCAGTCACGGCAGCCCCTGCAGTGGAGGAGAGGTACCAAGAGGAGGTCAGGACGGTGACCACCACAGACAGAGGTCAGTGGGGGAGAGGGAAATTATATTTTATTTAATAGCTGCCTGATGACCAATACAGACATAATGGGTTGTTGGCGGGTGCTCTGGTGTGGTTTGCTTCTTCTATCCTATCAGACATCTACCGTCTTTATCTCCCCTCCTTCTTTTTTGTGTTTGTTACTCTCTTGTAACACCTCCAATCTTCGGCACTTATATGACCTTATTGTGTTGCAAGTGCTGTAAAACACTTACTAAAACTAAAATACATACAGAGATCAATGGGGAGAGGGAAATGATATTTTATTTTATACCATACTTGGGAGTTGTTTTAGCATTGCCCTTCTGGTAAAATAAATCCTTATATTTGTGTAAATATAGGCTGGGGAAGCGCGCACTATATTCGCCTTCTAATTCTAACCTTTTTAAGAAAAGTATAGACTTGAATCATAATATTTCTAGACCATGCACTGTCATGGCAGCCACTCTTTCCCCCATATAAAAACTTCGCCGTAAAGCGCACTCACAATTGGCGCCAAAATGAAGTGTCAAACTACCAAAGAATTTAAAAATAGGGCCGCGGGGCGAAGAAAGGTGAAGAAGCCAGTCAGCATTCTAGTGCTATTTTAACTTTCTTTGCAAACAACAGTCTCCCACTCCCACTGTCCCTATAGTAGAGAGTAGAGAGTAGACTCTCTACGTTGCCCTTAATTTTGTTCCAAATTGGGTCAAATGGTGCGCACCAACCGGGATTACGTCAGAGTGCTCTAAGTCTATGCTAGCGAACAACTCCCAGCCTTTGGTTTGTTTTGGTCGTAAAGTTTTAAATCAAAGTTTTCTCTATTCTCACGAGAACACGTCTTATAAAATTTATAATTAAATCATTTACTGCATTTAATGCAGTTTCTTAAGTTTTCAACTTTTGAATCGTACGTTTTCTGCTTGTGTTGCCTATGCTTACGTTATTATTGTTTTGCCTTTTGGTTTATTTCGAGGCGGGAGACATACGGATAGCAAAAAAATGTAAATTAGCGTGGCTAAAGACAAAGGAAAACAATCCAGATTTTTGACAGTCCTCATTCTGACTCTGACAGGCATGAACATTTTGCGTTCATGTGAGACTCTAGAGTGAACCCTTTTGTCCAACGCTCAATTTACTATCTGGTTCTGCGCAATTTACTATTTGGTTGCGTTCAATTTACTATCTGGTTCCATTCAATTTACTATCTGGTTCCATGCAATTTACTATCTGGTTACGTTCAATTTACTATCTGGTTTCGTCATATTTGTAGATCTCTTGAATGCTCTCTTTGTTTAAATTTTGAGGTCTTAAGAATGTGTGGCTTCTTTGGTACCACCAGTATAATATATATATATAGAGAGAGAGATAAATAGATAGACAATGATGATGATGATGATGATGATGATGATGATGATGATGATGATGATGATGATGATGATGATGATGATGATGATGATGATGATGTAGTTGAGGGCGAAACATTGAACTTGTCTTTAAATATTTTGGAAATACTACCAAGTCTTAACAGTTTTACTATCAGCTGTGTACAATGATGATGATGTTGATGATGATTATTATTGTTATTATTAGTACTTGAATAATATGTTCAAGGCTGCTTACCTATCCTGTGGCAGACATTTCCTACTAATTTATTCACAAAATGACACCGACCTTGACCTTCCTCAGGGGCTATGTCCTCGTCGTCCTCATCGTCCCTCTCCTCTTCCTCCCCCTCGGAGGGCTCAGCCGCCATCAGTGACAAAGGTCCCAACAAGGCCAACGACCCTACTCTTGACGAGAGAGAGGAGGAAAGGAGGAGAGAGGAAGAAAGGAAAGAAGAAGAGAGGAGAGAGACAGAAAGAAAGGAGGCAGAAAGGAAGGAGGAGGAGAGGAGGGAGTCGGAAAGGAAAGAGGAGGAGAGAAGGGAGGCAGAAAGGAAGGAGGAAGAGAGGAGGGAGGAAGAAAGGCGAGAGGAAGAAAGGAAAGAAAAGGAGAGAAGGGAGGAGGAGGAAGCGCAGAGGAGAGAGGAGGATGAGAAGAGGGAAGAGGAGGAGAAGGTGGTGGCAGTGGCTGTGCTGAGCGATGGACAACAAAAGACAGAGACGAAACAGAAAAATGGTACGGAAAGATGATGTGTAAGGGTGGAGGGAGGGAAGGGCTGGGGAGAGGAGGAGGAGGAAGAGGAGGAGAAAATGCTCACTTTTCCCGCTCTGTCGCGTCCTCAAGAGAGGCTACATTAATGAAATCATCCTGGAGCGTCGCGGGTTCAGCCTATTCGGGTCGCCTTGTCTCGTTCTGGCAAACGAGAGATCAAACAGGTTTTTGCTCTCTTAAATTTAATGTTCTGATCCAGCTCGTCTCTGGGCAAGATGCTCTTCAGAGAACGCTTGTTGGTTAGGTTCTAGTTTAGTTTTAGTAACGGTTTTACGTCACTTGTAACACAATTCGGTCATGTAAGTACCGAAGATTAGAGGTGTTCTTCGGGGACATGGGGAAAAAGTGAGGAAGGACGATAAGGGCGATAGATGTTTGATTGGAAAGAAGGAGCAAACCACACTAGAGTACCAGTCAAGTACCCGATCTGATGGTGTGAAAGAAACTTAAGGAACATTTTGAAATGAAAAAAAAAGGAACAACAATATATATATGATAAAAAAAATTAAATACAATGACGGGAAACATGCATGAGCGCCCTCAAACATTGTCACCCAGACAGAAATTGTGAAGGCCTCCTCTCCGAAAAATGCGGTCGGTATTACAATTGATATTATATTTAACGGAATGCGGGTACTCGTTTGGGGAAAAGATGCGAGGGGAGGGGG